CACTATGTCAACCTCCATTCTCCCGATTATACTGCAACCCACCTAGTAAAGGCTTCTTGACATATTCTGCCAATCCTCAATACAATGAACACAAGTTCTATCATGTTCTCGTCAAGTATCTATCAAATATGTACAAACCGATGTTAGCTCCCACTCGTGCCACAATCGAACGCAGCGACTACCGCGACTTCCTGCAATCGCTCGAGAAAAACTCTGTTGACCTTGTTTTAACTGACCCACCCTATGCAGTCAGCAGAAAGACCGGATTCTCCAGCGTCAAAAACGGAGTGCAGCGATTCGCCGTATCAATGGACTTCGGAGAATGGGACCACCAGCAGATTGACCTTGCGGCGCTAGCAGAAGAAACTTATCGAGTGCTTCGGCGTGGAGGTACTGCAATTGTTTGGTACGACCTGTGGAAAATCAGCCACCTGTACGATGCCCTAGAGGACGCCGGATTCAAGATGCTGCGCCTCATCGTCTGGAACAAGACCAATCCTGTGCCTCTGAACAGCAGATGTACCTACCTTTCCAATAGCCGCGAAATGGCAGTCATCGGAGTCAAAGGAGGCAGCCCCACTTTCAACAGCGCCTACGACAGCGGCAACTACTCATATCCCATCCCAAGACACGGCGGCAAGCGCATCCATCCCACTCAAAAACCTCTGGACCTATTCCATGAGCTCGTTTGCAAGCACAGCAACCCCGGCTGACTCGTGATTGATCCTTTCCTCGGCAGCGGTACCACTGCAGTTGCCGCGCTCCAGGAGGGTAGGGCATTCGCCGGCTGCGACATCGACGAATCCTACATACAAGCCGCAAAATCCCGCATGCGCCAACTCACCTGACATGATAGATATACACTGGTAACATTTGCCGAGAGGGACATGACTACTCCAGTGGGAGACCGAGTCCTTGATTAGTCGATGATGGTCATTTGGAGGCCCTTGATATGCCGGAAATGAGTTGGGAAGCTGCGATTGTCAGAGTCTACCAAGAGAATCTGGACGTTGAGATGACCAATGGTGACGTTGCCCAAGTCATAATGGACGAAGGTTTCAGGACCTCCGTTGGCAAGACTCCACAGAACACTATTGGATCAAGAATGTCCGCCTTGATGGAGAGGTACGATATTGAGAGGCTAAATAGGGGCATTTACATTCTTCGTTCTTCAGGAGACGAGACGTGCGCTGCTCCCATTGAAGATACAGGCGACCCCCCTGACGACGCTACCACTCCTTCTACAATAGGGATAGAAGCCTATGGCGTGCATTGGGAACGCAGTAAAGTGGATTGGCAATCCGGTCGTATATTGGGATACGCAATCGATCCTCGTGAAACTATTGATTTTGCTGATCAACAAGGCGTGTATGTGCTATATGATTGGAATTCAGTGGTTTATGTGGGGCAAACGATTGCAAGGACAAATGGGCTATTTCAAAGACTGCAAGAAGCTCACACTAAGAGGGAAGACTGGGGAGATAGATGGGAAAGGTTCTCTTGGTTCGGAATTCGCCCAGTCAATGAAGTTGGCGAATTAATCGGCGCCCCGATCAATGCTGACCTGAGAGCCGTCGCCAACTTGCTGGAGTCCGTTCTAATCGAAACTTTGCGTCCAGCTTTCAACCGGCAGTTGCGTGGCAACAATATGGGAAGTTTGTACCGTCAGGCCATTGACCCTTACCTAAGTGTCGCTAGGTGATGAGGCTAGCACAAAACACTCACTGAACGAGTCACCAAAGTAAAGTGGACTAACGAACCAAAATGACCCAACGCATTGTCTCCGGCGCGCCCCACGAACTTGACCACTCGCTGGACACTAGCCTGCGCCCGCGCCGCATCATCGACTACATCGGACAGACCGCAGTCAAGAACCTGCTCGCCATCAGCATCAAGGCGGCGCAGCAGCGCGGCGAACCGCTCGACCATGTTCTCCTGTACGGCCCCCCAGGACTCGGCAAGACCACTCTCGCCAACATCATGGCATTCGAGATGGGTGTCAACATCAAGACCACCTCTGGGCCCGCCATCGAGCGTCCCGGAGACATGGTGGCTACACTCACGCAGATGCAAGAGGGAGATATCCTTTTTATCGACGAAATCCACCGACTCGGCCGCGTCGTAGAAGAAGTTTTGTACCCGGCTATGGAGGACTACTTCGTGTCCTGGGTCATCGACAAAGGACTCAAGGCGCGCAGCATGAACCTTTCAATCAAGCCCTTCACTCTCATCGGCGCGACCACGCGCTACGGCATGCTCAGCCCGCCCCTGCGCGACCGCTTCGGCAACATACACCGCCTCGACTTCTACGACGAAGATGCAATGGCAACCATCGTCGAACGCTCCTCGCGGATCCTGGAAATCGAAGCAGAGCCGGAGGGCGTAACCGAAGTTGCCCGCCGAGCGCGCGGAACGCCCCGTATCGCCAACCGCCCTGTTGCGCCGCGTCCGAGACTACGCACAGGTCATCGGCGACGGCATCATCACAGCTAAACTGGCACGAGAAGCCCTGAAACAGCTCGAAGTTGACGAGCGCGGACTCGACGGCACCGACACTCGCATGCTGCTCACCATCATCGAGAAGTTCGAGGGCGGTCCCGTAGGATTAGACACCATAGCGGCGTCCATCAGTGAAGACAGCGACACCATCGAGGACGTGTACGAGCCATACCTACTGCAACTCGGCTTCCTTGACAAGACCCCCCGGGGCCGCGTAGCCACCCGCCGCGCCTACGACCACCTCGGCTTCGACTACGCCAAAGACAACCCCAACTCACCCCAGGCCTCCTTATTCCAGTGAACGGAGGACCCCGCTCCGATACGGTGAGGGTAGGGAAGGGAGCAGGTAAGCAATGACCAGAACCAGAATCTCCCTCACCGCCGCCCTCATTGCTCACATCCTCGCTTGGGCAGCCACCATCTTCTTCCTCTTCGACCCCGTTTACAGACCCACCGGCGCAACCCTTATTGAAGTTAACGGCCTATCGGCAGCCTTGCTCATAGTCATTCCCGTCGCACTCACCGCCATCACCCTAAACGCATCGCTCCCCGGCGCAACCCGCCCCCGCCTCATGCTCATCCTCCGCTGGGCAGCATTCGTACTGCTGCTCATCTTTGTATTGCGGGTGCCCTATCCATCGGCATCTTCTACCTCCCCGCCGCCATCGCAGCCCTCGTCGCCGCAATTTCTGGTAAATCAGCCTATTTGATTCGACACTGAACAACAGGCCAAAATGGTAAAGACTTGAGTCAAAACAGCGTAGTCTGCCGAATTATTGGAGGCCAGAATACCCCTATTACGACCCAAGTATTGTAAGGAAAAACGGTGCCGACAAAGAATTTCGTCTCCTTGCGGGAGCCACACATTTCATCCAAGAACTTGTGACGGACACTTTTAGCAGCCTCCAGTTCGTTTCCAAGTCTGTCAAGTTCTCTCAACCAAAGAACACCTAACTCCCAATCCTCAATCATCGCACTGTGTGGGTTTGCGCTGTCTTCGCACTCAAAAATGTAACTGAACTGTGAGGTGGACCCAATAAATCGGACAGGTGGTTTAAGAGAGAGCCCCGCTCCTAGAATATGGGAATAGAGGCGCAGGAAAATGGAAGCGAGCAGAAAGAAGCACAGCCCGGCGTTCAGGCCAAGGTAGCCTTGCTGCCCTCCAGGGGGAAGAGACGATTGCTCAGTGGCCAGCCGGTTTGAAGTTCATCCCACGCAGATTCATGCCTGAAGAAGGCCCTGATTCAGGGAGCGCCCGAAGGTCATCGCAACGATACGGCAAAGGCGGAGAGGGACCAGGAAGCGCTGCTGCCCATCTTACCAGCCGATTGGGCAACTCAGGTGGAACGGGATTTTTGTCGCGCAAGTCCGGCTATGAGTCGGCGCCGGCGTCTGGCTATGTGAACCGAGGACACCCCAGACTTTCGGTAGTAAAGCAGTGTCGTCTGTTGCAGCTCATGCCTTCCGCGGTGTACTACGGCCGACACCGGCTAACCCGGCGGATCTGGACCTGATGGCGGGATGGACCGACAGTATCTGAAGACGCCCTTTTATGGTTCTCGCATGATGACGGCCTGGCTCCGGACTCAGGGACACCAGGTCACCGCAAGCGGGTGCGGCGACTGATGCGGCAATGGGGCTGGAAGCCATCTACCGCAAGCCAATACCAGCAAGCCTGCCCGGACACAGGATATACCCGTACCTGCTCAAGGAGTGGCAGTCGACAGTCAATCAGTTTTGGGCAGCCGACATCACCTACCTGCCCATGTCCGGGGATTCCTTTATCTCGTGGCCATTATGGACTGGTTCAGCCGGTACGTGCTGGCCTGGAGGCTCTCCAATACTCTGGAGGTGGGCTTCTGTATCGCGTCCCTGAAAGAAGCCTTGAGCAAAGGACAGCCGGAGATCTTCAACACCGACCAGGGTAGCCAGTTCACCAGTGAAGCCTTCATGTGGCCTGCTACTGGAGCGGGGGATCAAGGTCAGCATGATGCAAGGGTAGATACTGACAACATCTTTGTAGACGTTTGTGGCGGAGCGTCAAATACGAGGAGGTATATCTGAAAGCTATCGCAATGGCATGAAGCCAGAGAGGAATTGACGCTTACCTGGCCTGGTACAACCGAGAGCGGCCACACCAGGCTCTGGGCATATCGGACTCCGGCTCAGGTGTTTGCAGAAGGAAGGCCACGTCAGGTGTTTACCAGAGCGGGCATCGACGTTATCATCTCGTGAGGTAGTGTCAGACTTTCCAGCGGGAGTCTCTCTTAACTTGGCCTCTT